ACTTTCAGTACAGCCAAGAAGGTCTTTTAGAGGCTTGATTTGAAGGTTAAGAAACCCACCGCATTCTCAGGGAAACTACCCCAGGGGTTAACTAAGATAATTATTTGAAAATTGCAAGTAATTGCAATTACTTCGAGTCTGCATTTCTCAGGATTTAATTCCCAATGACTGGATAGTCTTCTGCCTTCCTCTGCTGGATTAAAAAGTGATTTATTTTCAGAAGTTTCTTACCTGTGTATGCATGAGAAGATCATGATCCAGGTGTGGCTGTGTCTTCCACATAGTTATTTTCCCACCATTTCAATGGGATGATACCCAAACAACAGGTCATTTTCTGAACCCTTTGCAATCCTTTTGAAAAGCTTGATGTGCATGGCAGTATCCACCTCATTGCTAATACATATGATTTCCTAACTTCTCATTGACACACTGTCAGACTTTCTCCTTGGTGCAGTATCACGTCAAAAGCTTATTTCCAGTGGCTTCTATAACTGTGACTTACAAGTCTCTTACATAATAGCTGCCTTCTAGGATATTGTTCTTTCACTTCTTACGTTTTATGCATTTTTTTTGCTTATTATTGCATGGCCTTGCATTGACCCTTTACAATAACGTTCACTTTACCAGAAGTCCCATGTTGGTCTATATAAACTACTTACTTGCTAAGAAATTCTGATGCCAAATAGTTCCAGCAGTCATTTCAAATTTATTCCTCATCTCAGAGAAGATATCACAAAGCATCAGCCTGGGAAATTATCCCTGTGGCTCCATGTCTTGATGCGTGTTAGTCTCTCCCTACAGCTGGTTCACAATCTATCATTTTCACTGATTCACCATCCTTTGATACCCTGATAACAGATTCTGTAGCATACTACTCTTTTAATCAGGCTGGGAGAACAAAGCAAAGTCTCACAGAAATTCTTCAGTGTTATCTGTGATTGGATGAAATAGAGAAATAGGAAAACCTGTTTCTTTCCTTTGTTGTCATGTACTGTGTGTGTTTTTCTTGGCTTCATTAGACCTATACAGATAAATGATGTTTTCCTTCTGTGTAGTTTCAAACTACCACCAACTGCAGGAAAACTGAGGTAATTTAGGTCTTTTGGTTTAAAAAACCCATAATAATTTACCACGAATTAAATACTTGGCTTCAGCTCTGTAGTGTCACTTCTTTTTTTTAGTCTTTGCAATAAAACTGGAGGAAACATCGAAATGAAAACATCGTTTTGAATTACATTTTCTTCAAAAGGTCACATTGAAAAGTGTAATGTTTAGAGACTTTTATTTTTCTTGTCAAGATTAATAAAGCAGCTGACCTGCCACTAATTGAAGTGGAAAAAGTTACCTACCCTTGCTCCACAAAGCTCCAGCTTTGTGGCCCTTGTGAGAGGTACAATCCTCATACTTTGCAGTTGATGTAGGTTCTGATAGTCTGGGAATGGCTGTGCATTTTTGCACCCATCTTAATGTGAGCACAGGCGTTCAGCGTCCTCCCCTGCCCCCAGGGAAAACCACTGGCCACTGAGTGCAAACTGTGGACACATCCTAGCAAAACCACTGCTAATGTTTATCAGTGCACTGGACAACGTAAAGTAAAAACGAAGCAAATCAGTAAAAAGAAAGAAGAGAAAGTTTTCTAGCCTTGAAATATAAGTTTCAAGAGAAATAGAAAGTACATCTACCCTCCACCCCCCCATACCCCCCAAGATAACTGAGATCAAATGCAGTGTGTTATCACAGAAGTGTCTCTGTAACTAAGTGGAATCTTGGAAAGCAGTAGTAGTTTTAAGGTCTTGGATGTTTTTAGGTGTCACCCATCAGCTACGACTGACTGGTGCTCTACACTGAAGGTGCAGGACACACTGAAGAGCCGGTGAGAACCGGCTGAGGACCAGGTGCTGGCAGCAAAGCTGCGCCAGTTTGCGTCAGCTCGAGAGAATGGTGTCATTTACAGCACGGAGGGAGAGCAAAGGACGTGACCCTGTCTTTACCCTTGTATCCTCAGGTATTTTTGCACCTTTTCTGTTTGTTTTGGGGTTTTGTTTGGGTGTTGTTGTTTTTTGTTTGTTTGGTTTTTTGTGTTGTGTTTTTTTTTTACTGCTAGTGTAAAAATAGGGAAATCCATGCAGCTCTGATTTTTTCTAGTCATAAAGTAAACATCCTGATCTCTTTAAAAACTACGAGTTGACAGACAGCCGTGCCCCTATGACGTTTGCAGAACAGACTATAGCAACAGATATGAAGACGTGAAAAAAGAAATTGGTTGAAAAGTGAAATTTGATTTCACTGGGAGACTTTCAGAAAGTGAGCAAACAATGAAACGGGGAACAGGAGGCAGAAATCATGGGGCTGAAAACCGATAACTTGAAC